CCCGGTGTTTTGTCTCGATCTGTACGTAACAGCAGCGTATGATTCTTTATCGCGGTAGCAAACGTCGATTTCTCTCTTGGACAACGGTACCACGGCGCGATGTTGGGGTTTCACGGCACTGTGGGGTGGCGAACAGGTTCGGTTCGTCCTCGCTGGCGTCTGTTCGTCACCTCCTTCGTGTGGATGCGCTTGGGAGACAGATGAACCGCGGACATGTCATCACGTGATCAATCCGTCCGCGGATCAGTCCGTCGTGTGAATCGGCTATAGAGTCGACGCGGCTCACACGAAAGAGGGGGATAGCTGCTTCGTTCCCTCAATAAAAGCCCCCGATTCGTCTCCCCGATCCTCCGTGCCTATGGACAATGTCTGGAGGTCGCCAGAAGATGATTGCAGGAGAGCTTCCCCTCCACCCTTTCCTCCCCTGTTCGCGCCACCAAGTTTTGAGACGTCACAGCCCAAGCGCCAAGGATTGGTTGGACTGGTTGTCTGTCACTTTGTCCTCGGCCCTCTTGCATGTTTTTGCTTTCTCTGGCTAAACTCCAGCACCGAATTTTGAGAAAGAGCGGACATGAGGGTAGCGAATGAGTACCCCCTTAAGACTGCTGTAGAAAAAGATTTTGCATTCACCAGAGTAAATGACGGGCTGTCTTCTTAGGTGTGCGCACTTGCACAGTTGTGTGGCAAAGCACCGTACAATTGTTTAGCTACATTGATCTTGCCGATACCGACGCTTCTATCCAAGTATGACTCAACAGTTGCTGACGAGCAAATGCTCGTCAGCAACAGACACTCTACTTCTGCATTGAATATATGGCAAAAAAGTTTGTCAGATCGCGACTTCTGCTAGAAAGAAAAGCAAAAATTTTCATAAATTCCTTAAATTCTCTGACATGGCCCGGCAAATTCAGGCGATTGATTAATTTGTTCTATCCAATTTTCACTAAGAATTGTTAACAAATTTAAAATCGTTCGCTGAGAAGTGCATCACGCTTCTGCGTGATGCACTTCTTGTTTGCAAAATTAAACATACAACGGTAGTAATTCATAGTAGGTGCTTACCTCATTTTTTGGGACGCTGAAGTGTCACCGACTTACTGGATTTAAGACTTCAATAGCGAGGGGGTCTCGCATGTTTCGCGCAGACAGGGTGAATAAGCAGATATTTCATTAAAACGACGCCGGAAGGCAGCCACCCCTTCTTTCTGCCATTTATTTTGAGGAAATGTTTGTTTACTGGTTTATGACATTCAGAAAGGAATCAACTTTGAACTAACAAGAGACCAGCACTCACAGAACACATTGGAACCTACAGGATACAGGTAGTCGCTTTCACTGGAGTGCTTACTACACATGCGAGAAGTTCTTGAATTTTGTTTTCCTATTTTCAATTCGGTGAGACCTTCCTTTCTCAGTTTTATTTAGCCCGAATCATAATTAAAAATAAACCCTATTCGCTGTGGTAGATGCTGTAGTGGGGTAAAGCACTGGTTATTCTATTTTCATCATCCAACCTTTTGTACTGAAGTAGAGAACAGCACACCACCATCCGAGCGCTTCGACACCTCAGTGCCAAAAGTGTTTGTAGCACGACTAGGGTGCCACAGTTTCAAGCTTTGGTAAAATGTCCAACTACAGATATCACTATATTAAACACAATGCATAAAACAGGCTTTGCCCCGCGTTACCCAAACAGCGCAGGAAGCGAGCTGATCAAAAGTCAAGTTTGGGAGTTTTACGTGCCAAACCAATGACGGGCATCTAGCACGCCCCAGCGGAGTACTGAGGATTAATTTTGACCACGTGAGGATCTTTTGTCCTGCAACCAAAAGCTTGCCTTCTCCGCAATAAGCCTCCGTCAGATTGCGGGCACGGCGGCCGGGATTTGAACCCGCCACATGGGTATCCATAAGTCGGCGCTCTCGTCTCGGAGCCACCGAGGCAACTAAGGAAGCGAGCTATTGAACCGAAGAATCCCAAGATCTACGTGGTCTGTCCCGGTCTGTCCTACCTGTTACGTCACAAACGATGATGATGATAGCTACAGAAGCGCCCCTAGTACTTCACGCATGCCGCCAATAGGAGTCCAACATTTAGCTTGCCCGAAGTCAATTCACGGCTGCCATGAACCTCTCCTCAAATTCAAGTTTGCTGCTTGCCTCCCTCTCTTTGAAGAAAAGTCCAATCACCTTGCACAGTTTCATCTGCGATCTTAGCTTCCCTGGTGGAGGATCTCCGAATAGTCACGGACCCCTAGGAGCCTGTGGAAAACTCTACAAGAAGTGCTGCTCTAGAGTATGACCACCAGAAGCGGCAACGAAAGAGGCGGCACCAAGGACACGACTACAAAAGAGTTACACGCAGCAGCGGCAGTCAACGACGGGGTTATCTGCCATACATTAACCACCTGACTCGGCAGGTAGGAAAAATTTCGTTACCTAATTGGAGCACTCAACTCCCACAGCTGACTGTTGTTGCTGGTCGCTGATTGCACATTACGATTTCTGAATGAAGTGTGACTGAAATGTTGAAAGACAATAAAACCGACAACTTGTGCTTGCACTGTAAAAAACCTATAGAACAATAATGATGATGATTGGGGGTTTTTTGGTGCAAGAGCGATTTTGGCCATATTGCACCAAACAAAGGTTTTTCCAAGGTGCTTAACGGTATAATCTATAAAAACTGCAAGCTACAGCTGGTGTAAAAGGCCAGTTTTATAGATGAAATTTAAAACTCGATTGAATGGTACCAATGATTGTTTGCCAAGCAGAAAATATGGATGAAAGGAAAGGTGACCTCGAAAAAGTTCTGGGAAACATGATCGCCGCTCTTAGTTTAAAGATTTGCAATGCCACAGGATGTGCAAAACAGTCATAGCTTTCTCACAGTTATCGCAAAGTTTAACATCATCACCACAGAGCAGGTGCAAATGAGTCAAACAGGTATGACCGATTCTTAAGCGGCAAAGAAGAACTTTAGCCTGACGGTCTTTATGGAAAGAACTCTCCCACACCCCCAGTTGGGTCTTGATAACATGAAGAGGTAGTTCTCTTGTTTCATATCCCAATCCAACTGCCATGACTTCTTAATTGATTTCTGGCTAATTGGTTTCACGTCTTGGTGTGGCAAGCCAAGAGGCAGTTTTGGGCACTCTTTTGCAGAGCCAGCAAGTAAGTCTGCTTTCTCATTGCCGGAAATCCGAACCCAGTAGAATTTGATCAGGTGTCCTTGCTGAAGTGCTCGGTTTAACCGTACCCGAAGATATCGCACGAGAAGGTTCCTGCTGTCTGCTAAGGGTGAAATGGGTAGAACACCACTCTGGGAGTCGACAAACAAAATAGCTTTCATGATATTGTTCTCCAATAAGTACTCAACAGCCATTAAAATGCCGTACAGTTCAGCAGTAAAAATATTTGCAAAAGTGTAGTTGTCATACTTTCCTGAAGGCAGTAGAATAAACCGCACATCCCACAAAAGTTTGTTTTCGATCCATCAGTGTAAGAATGCGAGTAGTCCTCGTATTTCTGTTCCAAATCGGCAAACTCCTGCTGAAGAACAAGTGGAGAAATGGCTCTTTTTCTGTGCTTGGATAGTGACCAGTCACAAGAAATTGACAGAATGTTCCAAGGCACAACTCCCTCATTGCTCCTCAGCAAAGCAGCCTCACTAAAGGGAAGGCGGAGCAATGTTGCCAAGCTTTGAGCTCTGAAGCTCAGGGGCGAACAATACTCGGCTTGTTTTCAAAGAGTCGGAAGGATGTAGAGGGTTGGAGGGCATCAAAAGAGGGTGGTGGTGGTGGTGGTGTTTGCCTGACGTGAGGTTTTTCTCACTGGCTGTGGAAAAGTTTCACGGGCTTGGGTTATTGCAGTTTTGATGAGAATGAATGCAGGGGAAAGGAGGGAAAACAGATGGTGATGAGAACTATAGGATGATGAAACACAAGCCAACAAATTGAAGTAAAATAGAGTCGACAAGAAATCGGTCAAAAGTGAGAAAATGGGCATATCTAGAATGCGAGCATCACAAAATGTTCACAAAATTCCCACGGGAAACTTCACGAGAAAAACTATCACTGGCACACAAACACAAAAAGATAAGTGGGCGGTCAGACTTTCTCACTCATCGCAGCCTTGCCAGAACAACAGGCATCCAAGAAGCTGAACAGTCTTTCAGAGATGTGTGCATGTGGATGCTGGACCCTTGGGGAATAGCATATCCACGAGGGTGGGTGAAACACCGAGGCTCTTCAGTGAAGCTAGGACAGTTCTTTCTGTATTGTGGTGTACACATCATCAAAAGAGGGATGCTGAGGATAGTTGTATATATCTTGTAAGCATAACAAAGACTAAAATATTGCCTTTGTCTTTCAGGGGACATTTGATGTGTATCAGCATACAGGCTAAGCTTAGGCGATGTTCAAAACGCACCCCGTGGCGAGTCGGAGCCCGAGATGATGGACAGGGTCCAACATCTTTAGGGCAGACGGATGTGCCGGCACATAAACAATCGCGCCATAGTCCAAGCGGGACCGCACCAAGAAGTTATAGAGTTGCAAAAGGCACAATCTGTCAGACCCCCAGGTCGCATGCGACAACACTTTGAGAATGTTTGATGAACGTAGGCATTTATGTTTCAACTCTTTCAAGTGAGGTATAAAAATAAGCTTTTTATCAAATATTATTCCTAGAAACTTGTGGGCCTCCTTTACAGGTATAGCAACGTCATTCAAGTGCAACACTGGATCTGGAGACAGGCCACGGCGAAGTGAGAAGGGAACACAGATTGTCTTTTCGGGGCAGAACCTAAAGCCATTTTGATCAGCCCACTTCCCATCTTATTGATTGTGAGCTGCAGTTGCCGATCACAGCTGGACAAGTTACAAGAGGAAAACAATATCTGCACATCGTCCACATACATCGAACAGGATACGGATGGTGGTATAACCTTAGCCAGACTAATAATCTTCACAGCAAAGAGTGTAAGGCTCAATACTCCACCCTGAGGGACGCCATTCTCCTGGGGAAAAACATCCAACAGGATGGAGCCCAACCGCACTTGGAAGGTCCAACCTGTCAAGAAACTTGGAATGCAGCGAAGCATGCGACCTCAAACACCATATGAGTACAAGTCTTGAAGGATCCCATATCTCCAAGTCGTGTCAAAAGCCTTTTCTAGGTCAAAGAAGACAGAAACACAATGCTGGCGATGGACAAATGCTTCCCAAATAGAAGTTTCCAGGAGGACAAGGTGGTCTATTGTCGAACGGCCCGATCGGAAGCCACACTGATTTCTATCAAACACACCCTCTATTCTAAAAAAATGTACAAGACGGCGATTAACATGTCTCTCGTAGGTTTTGCCCAAGCAGCTTGTCAATCCAATTGGGCGGTAGCTCATCGGTAAAGAGGGATCTTTGCTAGGTTTCAGTAGAGGGATTATAAGTGCTTTTTTCAACAGTCAGGAAAACAAGCAGCATCCCACAGTAAATTAAAAAAAGGTGAGTAAATTGTTTAAAGATTCAGGCGATAGTCTCCTTAGCATCTGGTATTGAATCCTATCTGGCCCAGCCGCAGATTCTTTTTTGACGCCAAGAGCCAATTCAAGCTCACACTGTGTAAATGGCTTATAAGGAATCCTGAGCACCACAAGAAAAAATAGCTTGTTTTTCCGCTGTTGCTGTAATCCTCTTTAAGGATTCACTATAGTTGGCTGAGTTAGAGACTTCCTGGAAGTGTTCACCAAGAATATTTGCTTGTTCCTTAAAAAGGGACCAGCAGTAATATTCTTCCGCCTGGCGGAAAGTCCTCACCCTCTTTCCTTTCCCTTTCTCTTGTATTGTAGCTCGGCGAGGTGAGGGGAAAGGTTTCCTTTTGCGCCGGCTTCTTCTGAGAGGATAAGCCGAGAAAATCCCCATTCTGAGCGACGGGCGATGGGTGCGGCAGCAGCGGCTTCGTGACTTACGGGTATCTTCAACTCCTATCGCGTAATCTGCCCTATTTTTCGGCGCTTGCCAAGCCTAGCCCCTCGGGTGTAGGTTTTACGGAGCTGCAAAGCTGCGCCCTCGCAGTCACCCAACTTGAGGTGTCGAAGTTTTTTGGTTTAGCCCGTGGCAAAGTAAACGCATACTTGGGAGCTGCGATGCATCCCCGCACCTATTGAAGGAACGTTTCATAGATATTCTCGGTTGATCAAGGAGCTCAAAACACATGCGCGAGATGTGGTGACTTGAATATGCAAGGATGACTTACATCTTCACAAAACATTCCATCTTAAAAAAAAAAAAAATAACGGCTTATCACGCTCAAACTTGCCTCAAATTGGGATCGGTGGAAAAGAAAACGAAGAAAACGACGTACCAGGCGCGGGCATCTTGTAGATCAGGGGTGGCCAAACCGCGGTTCGCGAGTCGCATGCGGCTCTTTGCTGGTCCAAGTGCGGCTCGCGGATCCCTCGTAAAGGGACCTCCCCCCCCCCCCCTTATTCCCTTGCGCCCTTTCCACGTTTCCCAAGGATTTCAGAATAAAGAACAGCTTGCGGTTTGGCAGCCTTATGCCCCCATACTTACAGTCGAACCACTTTTCACTTGTATGTTTTCACAGATCCTGTCTCTTCCATTGTTCGAGGGAGTTTGCCGGATTCTAGGGGGAAAGGCATCAAGGACAGGGACTGTCAAACCATGCATGCACTTTGGCTTGAGGTCCAGGAAATGCTCAGTCTCGCGGCCTTTGTCACTCGCCGGTGATAGTTGTCCCCATTAGATAAAGCATGTTCCCAATCGTTTCTTGTTGAAGGTCGCGGAAGACCGAGTTGACGCCATTCATAGCCCTCCCCTCCCCTCCCCTCCGTGGCTCTTACAAATTTCTTGGTTTAAATTGCGGCTCATAGGTCGGGTCAGCCTGGCCACCCCTGTTGTAGATCATCTCCGTTTTCTAGCAGCAAGCACAAAATATTGGAGTACTTTAGCAGACTGTTTTCAGGCTTGCTATATTTAGCGGGAGCTCGCGCTCCCACTTCGATGCATTCTCTGAAGCGCGCGCCTCAAGTGGCAGCGGACCTTTGAAAACGATTGACTAAAATGCCCTGTTGTGTGCCTAACTCGCAGAACATGATGGCCAGCGAAATGTATGAAATTCATATTTACACATTCCCAACAACCACCGGAGAAAAGTGATTAGGGTTAGCAATCCTGAACGCTCGCAACGTCTGTCCACAACCCACAACACCGTTAGAAGGCTGCGCCAGGCAAAAGTCACTAATTTTTTTCAAAATGTGTGACACACTTGAGAGAGAAGTGTGTACTAGTCTGGTGAAATAAAGACTTCCCTCAAACTAAGCTTTATTTTTTATATAATATAAAATAAATTGTTTTACAAGGGTAAGTTGTCTCATGGCATGTATTTTGGCTTGAAAAATTGATGTTTTGGTTATAGCGCGGTACCGCTCATAGTGCGGATTTTCGCGACTCCCGCGACATACGTTATATGCGGTCTACACTGTATCCCCAAAAACACATAATATGAAAGGTTCTCTTTTTTTTCTCATTTAGTAGGATTACCCCGTAATTATAATTCTAGTATCCTATACAGTATGTAAAGACTAATTCAGTATTATTGGACGTGTTATATAGATATATTTTTCAAGTTAGAGGGATTAATGTTACCTGTAAAAGTAGGTGGAAATGCAGTAATTTATACTTATATTGGTGTGCTCTGTTGTTTTTATTATCCGCGCAATAGCAGAGGCTCCTGTTGCATCCCACGCACAAACCATTATAGGCCAATGTGGGCTTTATATGGCATTATTTTTAAAGAAAGTAAATAAAGATGGTTTATGTATTGTATATAATTGTGTTGTGCAGTCTAGATGCAGCCACTGTCCTGCTTATAAAAAAGGAGGGAGGGGAAAAAAACTTACCTTGACTTGAGGATTGAACTGGTTCCATTCGAACTGCTGCCCGAGGTCAGGTTCGAAGGGAGTTTCGTAAGACCAAGAGGGACGCAAGGGACCACTTGAGATCCTGGGAACCAAATGCAATGAGCAATGACAGTAGTTAAGAACAAAGTGAGCACACCCTCCAAGCGCATCAAGCTAGGCAGACATCTATGAGAATAACACAAGAGAGACACCAAGGATTTGGCCATTTCGAGATAACAATGACAAATAGATGAGGACATGAAATGCCTGTTTGCCTAGTAATGGATGGCAGCCTGTGCAACCTGACTTAAGAGTTTGAAGGAATATTAAAAGCCCACAAGGTGTTCCACTATTAATGCTAAACTTGCTTTGTATATTTGTTGAACCTCAGGGCCCTCTGATCATCCTATTCAGGAAAGCCGCCATGTTCCGCCTCCCACAAAAACTTTCGAGTGTAGCTAAACGCGGGACATGCACCACGAAAAACTATTTTTTTATTACTTAATGTAACTGAATAAAACTTCCACAGTTTATAATGCTTGACCTTCTTTATAATAATATTGTTTTAGTTTTGGTACAGCTTGTTTTTTTATGTTCTACATACTCTGAACATGCAGCAAAAACAATCTGCTTGCACACAGGTGGTGTATGGGGTACAGATTCGTCTGGCGTCGCATTAGGCTCGAGGAGGAGGAGGAAAGAAGGAGAGAGAGGAGGAGTGGAGAGGAGGAAATAAGGAAGGAGAGGAGAAATAGAGAGAGAGAGAGAAGAGATGGGGGTAAAGAAGGTAACTGGGGAAGGGCCCCCCCGGAAAGTTTGTTGAGAAAAAACTCAGAACTTTTTTACTCTCAGAAGCACAGGAGCAATAAGCGGGCGCTTTTCACATTAGGCCCATTTCAGGGGTTTTCAAGAACCTACTAGATTAATGGTTTTGAATTTGTATAGCTGCTTTCTTAGCATTTGGAATTTCGGTTGTTTTGTAATTTTATTTCACAACGTAAATTATAATTATTTGCGGCACTGGGTCAATCCTGGGTAAAACTTTGTTTCCCAAACTTGTTTGAATGGGGCTGTTCCTATTCCGCTTACAAACTGTCACGGTGCGTTGAGCCGAGGGTATTAAAAATATTAACCCATAAATAATCTGTAACAGTAAGCGACCAGCGTTTAGTCAAACATCCAGAAACAGAGTTTCTAAATCTGCTAGAACGCCCTAAGCACGTGAAAAGAAGATATCGCATTTCAAATCGTCTGCTTCCCCACAACAAATCGGCAAGGGACGTCCCCAACCGCATGCCCCTCTTTTTTCTTATTTTTCATAGCAAACTTTTCGGGGGGCCCTTCCCCAGTTTCTTGAACACCTCTCCTCTTCTCTCTCTCCCTCTATTTCTCCTTTCCTTCCTTCTTTCCTCTTCTCCCCTCCCCCCTCTCCTTCTTTCCTCCTCCTTGAGCCTAATGCGACGCCAGACGAATCTGTACTGGGTATGGCAATTGACAAGAGCCTAGTAAAAAACACCAATTAGCTCCTTTAAAACTGCTGCCTGTATTGAACAACAAAAATAATGTGTGCTAGAGCTATTCTATGTTAAAATACTTGAAAACATCGAAAACACCGCCTTCAAATGGCTAACAAAGGTTTCTTAATGTTTTTATAAATATAAAATATATAGACCGACACATGGGTTCGACGTCGTGGAGCAGCGGCGGCGCTGCGATCGCGCCGGAGTCGGGTGGTGTGGGCAAAAGGGCACGCGTTTTGCGTAGGCATGATAGCATTTCAGCGTGCTGCAAAGCTGTGTAGCCATTAATTGCATGAAAGGTACAGCAAAAGTAGCGGAGTGAGTTTCCACAACTTCCCAGCTGACTCTGAAAGGTGCAGAAGGTGGATAACATCCAGAGATCAAAAATATTGGACACCTCGCGTAGACGACCGCTTGTGCGGAAAGCACTTCCTAGAAACTAAAGTGTGGCTTCCATTTCAATCTCCATCCCGAGGCTTGCTTATGTGCAGGGAAACCGTCGTCTGGTCGAGACCACCCAGATTTTGTTCCTACAGTGTTCGTGCACAAAGCTCCGGCCAAGCGCTTCTCGGTGCCTCGCTACCAGTGTTGCCGGCAGAGCGTTACTTTTCTCTGTAACGCAATAACGTACTCGATACTGTTCGAGACAGTAATGGGGAACATACTTACGCTACTTATTTCGGATGACGCGTACTAGTAGTTATATTACTCGTTACATATTCTTCCCAAGACCTGAAAAAAGTACATTTTTTTTTCGTGCTTTCCCACTTTGTCTTACCTTTAGCCCAGATGCAGCCGATGCTACCAGCTGATGGAACCAATCGACAGCGTCAAAAACACACCATGATGGTGTCTCTACCCATATGGCTAGAACACATAAGCTGTCCCTATAGACCTTTCCAGCGGCAGTCTCGAACGAAACGATTTACAGCGGATGCCCCTGGTTTTGAGAGGGTAGATCAGTGTTGCCCGACTGCAATGAGCTGTGGGTTTTCTAGTCGGTGGGCTGTGGCAGCCTGCGTAAGCGCAATTCCAGGCGCTGGTGGAGGCTGAAGTGCCGCGTTTATTTATTATTTTTTATTTTGTGTTATATGGCGAATAGAATTTCTCGGGGTTTTTAAGAATGCATTGTACTATTTTTTGGAAACAAAAACGAAGAAATGAAAGCTGTTTTGGTGAGTCCGTGCGCGACAGAACAAATGCAACTGGAAAATTTGTTTGGTTTTATGTTGATCTTTTTACGGCACCGTCCACTCAGCCGTGTCAATTTACAAAGGTCTTAGCCGTCGAAAATATTTGACCACACAGAATATCTGAACTGCATGAATATTCCCCGCCCAAATGAAATTCAACGAGTATCCTCAATCGAACAACATATATTGTACATACCCCACGGTGCTGCGTTATCCGAACAGGACTTGAGAAAGGTCTCAAAAAACAAAGCATGTCCAATCTACAGTGTCGACGATCGACGATAGTCACTTCACAAGAACCGGACGGAATCTGATGTGTTTTGGGGAACATCTAGAAGAGCTGCTTTTTTGCACGGCTTCAAAGCAAATGAACGAACGTGTCTATTCCGTCCCCACACCCCGGACCCGACCCTATCAGCTATTTTTTTTCGCGAAGACCCGGAACATAGCCGGGAAGGCTTTTTGAAGATTATCTAAACGGAAATAATCCTCCAAGAACGTCGAACTGCCTGCGTCGTTCGCTCTCTTCGTTCGGTTCCTGTGAAGGCCAAGCAGGCTACGAGCCTTGGTATTCTCTGGTTCTCACAGTGGAAGACAACACACAAAGGGTAAGCATCCTAAACAGGCGAATAAAGTAAAAACTTCCCAGAAAAGCCGGCGCACTTCGAATGCACAATGCAGGTGGGGAGTCAGGGGTCGCTCGACTCGCAAAATGGCGGCTGCCAGAACGCTCTTTTTGGAAAGATCTATTGTAATGCTAAATTTGTTTCGTAAAGTCGTTGAACCGCGAAACCCTTGGATCCACCGATTTAGGAAAGCTGCCATGTTGCTCGTTCCATAAAACGTTGAGTGTTCCACCAGGGAAAACAACTTTTTTTATTATTTAATATCATTGAATTAAACTTCCACAGCTTAAAATGCTTGATCTCCTTTATATAAGTCTAGTGTTACTTTCCATATAGCATGTTCCTTATGTTCTGGATGCTGTAAACATGTAGAAAATACATGTTCTTGCGGACAAGTGGGGCATGGCAAAAGACTTAAAAGAGCTTAGTAGAATAAACAAATTTGCTCCTCTTAAACCACTGAGTGTAATGAACAACAAAAATGCTGTGTCGTCGAGCTATTCTATTTTAAGATATTTGAAAACTGAAACAACACCATTTTCAAAGGGCTAACAAATGTGTCTTGATGGTTTTATAAATATAAGAACAATGCATTCTAATCAAACCTAGACAATTGCAACCCATATATTTTAAAGCGTATACATGTCAAATTTGGCTGTATATCACAATATTCACAAAAATACTTGTGTGCTTTTGTGAAGATGCCCCAAAATTACACAGAAAAAAATGTTTTGAATGTTACCATAGATGCACAGCGACACTCTTCCACAGTGGGAAAAATATTTTGTTAATAATTTTTGTGAGAGATCGAAGCTACAGAAGACTGTGATGGAGCGGGGACGCAATGGCAACGATGACCATTCGAAGAACTGCGCACACAAAAGTCGCTCAAATTTATGCACTTCTGGGTTGTCTGTTTTTCAAAGTGTTTATTTCACTACTTTCGGGATCATACCCAGTTCTTATTATTTTTATTTTAAAATATGAAGATTCAAAGAACATTAGACGCAATAAAACCTAAAATCAATTTTTTTGCAAAAGATTGGCGTTTTTCGACCCCCACCTTCCCTTAACCTAACACTTTATGTCCCTGGAAAGGGACATGAAGAGAAGCGATGTTGGGCACCAAGAAGCCTTTTTCACGGCTAAAACCCACGAGGAGGGTTCACCTTTTAGGACCATTGCACGGAAAGAGGGGCATGGCAGCGGTTGGTGAGCTAACACCTTCTGAAGCAATTTCCCTGCAACATAGTGACCCATTTTTAATACGAAACTCAGAGGGGGTGGTTGAGTACTTGAATTCCGGTACCCACGTGAATGCGGCTGCATTCTCTATCGAAATAGTTGATTAGTTTTACTCTGTTTTCCATGAGGGTTTCTTCGCATTGGTGCGTGAGTGTATCGACAGCTGTGTGGTCAAGTTCCAGAATACTAGCGGTGGGGAGTTGATGGTTTCTTGGAACTGCTCAGGTTCTACTTTCAGTCGACTTTTATTGTTTGAAGGCGCATACAATTTACAAAAAGAAAAAATTGATATAGGCGCATCCAAAGCTCAAGTGCTTTGCAACATTTTTCTGGCGAAGATTGACCAAACCATTAGCGAGAATTTGGATGCGATCAGTGCCAGTAAGGTATTTCGATTTCTTGATGATTGCAGGCTGGTGACCAAAATGCCTGAGGGCGCTTCGAATGATAGCATTGTCAATTCAGTATAGGATGTTATTTTACACTGAATTGACAAGCAGTATGAAATCGCTGCTTTTC